AACTTTTAATTGATTTATACTAGTTCTCAAAGTTTCGTCCACATCGTTTAGAACATTCAACAATAAAAAAACAAATTGAAAATACATTTAAGTTAATTATAAATTTTGTTATATAATCAAATTATTATGAACATACATAATTATGACATGGAAATCTTTCTTTAAAAAGTTGAAAATGAACAGTTAACATATAATTAAGAATAGCACCAAGAACTGTTCCACATTATACCATAAAACAACTCCAAAAGAGTCCTTTTTCTCCAGATACTTCATGAAAATGAATATTTAATAAAATATACACAATATGATTTAGACCATTTGCAGCAACATATATTAAAGCACTTATTGAACCACCTAATAAAATATTATTTATGAAAGGAGGACATGGAGACATTTTTGCAATAATAAATATATAAATTAAAAAAAGTGTAGCAATTATATTAAATATATGAACTAAATTTGGATAACGTTTTATTGTTATATTGGAATAAATTGCACAAAATATTTGAACTAACAAATATGATATTTCAATGGAAACAATTGTTTTTTGATAAATATCATGTGAATAAGATGCAAGTGCATAAGCTAAACAAATAAATAAATAAATTTATATTTAAATAAATTTATTTTCAATTACTTTGTAAACCAGGAAGAAAACCTAGAAAGAAATATTTATTTATTTATTTAATATAATTATGAAAAATAAAAAAAAAAGATTTACCAAAAGTAATAAAACAAGACCAAAACATAGCTAAAAGATATAATTCATTATTTGACTTTCTTGTTCTTCTTCAATTTCATTCTTATTATTATTAATTAATTTTATCGATTCATCATTTTCATTCGATTTATCTTGTCCAATTTTCGTTATCGATAATATAAGAAAAGAAATAAGTGAACAAAAGAGAATAAATGATAAAAGAAAAAAATAAGTTTCAACAGAAAATCCTAATGAAGAAGTTTTTTCAATGAATATTGTTTGATTTGCAGAAGTAATAATTGGTATACATTGGGTTTTTTCGGAATCTTGAACAAAACCAAGTATAGCTAATGTTCCACTTGATATTCCATCACCTAAAAAATAAGCTCGCATCATAATTGTTTTATATCGATCAAGATATGGAAGAAATAATAAACTTCCACTATATTCACAAACATAAATAATAAATGAAAAGAATAAAAAATAGATTGAATGAGATTTATTATTAATTATTATTGTTTTATGCCAAATTAATCCAAGAATAACAAATGTTATTATAGATATTAATAAAATTATTATTATTGTCATTGTTTCATAAGATTTTGATTTGGTTAAATGACGTAATAAAAATATAATGATTAGTGATATTGCTGCTCCTTGACTTACTAAATTAAAAATAGCTGGTAATGACCATCCTTCTGGTAATTGATTAATTAGAGCTGGTAATTCAATGGGAATACCATAAAACAAAATATTTTGACATAACGAAAATATTAATATTAATAGAAATACAATTATTGTTGAATTATCCTAGGAAATTATCAAAATAACATTTTTTATTTAGAAAAATATTTACTGTATTTTTCCATAACATTGTTCTTCAATAAATATGAATATTAATATAAAAATAGATCTAAAATTTTTATCATATTTTAATCAAAAATTATCATCAGATAAATGTCTATATTAAAAATTCATTTATTTTACGTATTTCGAAGGTGAAAATTATTCATCGAAGAAAATATATTCTATATTTTTCATCGACAAAACATGAAGAAATGATTAATTATAAATTGATGACTGTTATGTTTCTCAATATTTATATACTTATGAGAAGTTTAATAACAATATATTTTTACTGTTAGAATGATATTGTATAAACAACATAATAGAATTTATTTCTACTAGAAATGACAATATTATACTTTATTAATGAAATCAGTGTTTTCGATGTTAAAATATAATAAACATTTTTAGTAGAATCAAGAAGCTTTTCAAACGCTTCTTTATTCTACTCGGGAATGTACAAAGAGTGATGCGCGTGGGCTTTTAGATTTGATGTTGAAGATAGTATAAATATGATCTATGTTCACTGTACGACCTTACGCATTTGTGATTTCATTAAAAAACAAAGGATGAAAAAGCGATACGTACTAGTTCAGATAAACTTTAAAGACTGAGTTTTTTTTATATATTTTACAATACTTTTATCTGTTATATTTGGTCAAAAATCAATGACTTACTAATGTTAAAATATGACCTTAGATTAATAAACTTTGTATATAAAAACATACGAGGTTCAGTAAAATCTAACAAATATTTATTGTATACTTTGATTTGTATAAAAAATCGTAAGAATGTAACAAAAACATGCCTATCCACTAAATAATGCAATTAGTTAATGTCACGTCTTAACAAAAAAATGATATAAATCTATGTATTGCTAATTAAGAGAAAAATAATATGTATACTTATTATTTATGTTTTTTCACAC